TTTGAAGAGACTTGACAAAGGGCACTTGCTTAAAAGCAAGAACTATGGCTGAATTAGGTGCAGGGCGAGGGGGAACTGGGAAAGAGAGCTGAAAACAGAAGTTCTGCAGCCAGACCCCTTTCCTGACATTGGCTGTTGGTGACAGTACACTCTGGGTGTGGCTTCTTCCAGAAAGCTGAAGCAGGGTTCCAACTGGCAGACCCCAGACTTAATAAGACTGGCAACCGGGTGTGTATTTCCGCAGTTTACGGTAAGAGACAGTGTGTAAGAAATGGATATGATTTTCTTTGGCTCTGTTTAATTGACTTTTCAATTTACCCACCAGCCACCATACCAACTGCATCAGCTAGAGCTGAAGTTGCTTTTGCCGCTCTGTCTGCCGTCTCAGGCTCCGCTTGGGAAGCACGTTTTGCAAGCAGCACTGGTGAACCTGGAGGCCTCCCAGGGAACGGAGATGGAGAAGGCTCTGGGGCTCCAGGGGCCCCAACGGTGTCCGCAAACGCTGCGGGGCTGTCGGGCCCGAGGGGGTGTGGACTCAGAGAGAAGAGGGTCCCCGTCCCTGCCTCTCGGACTCTCGCTCTTTGTCTATTCATCCGTGTGCCATTTCCCTTTCCTTTCAAGGAAGGACCCTTCCTGCTCACGCTCTAGACTGTAACTCAAAGAATGTATTCAAAATGCCCATTATAAATGCCCTATGGGTGGACTTTTATCCTATTCACAACTGCCTTTAATTTTAGGCTGTAGGTTTCCAACGGAGAAAAACGCAATTATTTGCATTTGACTCCACACTTTCCCTAGCCCAACCGCCTCTGTGCTTTCAGAACAAGATCAAGGCAACGGGGAAAGGCTCTTTCTAACTGATGATACCAGATGACCAATGAAAGGAAGCGGTACTTACTACATGTCAAGTACTATGTTCACCACTTTTTCATGTATTATCTCTTTAAATTCTCATCAGCTATGAGAGGTCGTTACTGGTGTTCCCATGTACACGGTTGAAAAATGGGATCACAAAGATGGGGCAGTTTACTTTTCATGCACTTAGTGACTCAGCGGGGAGTAAGAGAGCCAGGAGGCACACCCAGGCCAGGCTCTAGAATCGACATTCTCTTTCCAACATATACCACCGTGTGCAGAGCTGTGAAGAGTGAGGCAGGTTCTCTTGTGAAAGTGTGTGTGTGTGTGTGTGTATGTGTACAGAGAGGGAAGCCAGGGCGAGGTGGCTGAACTGGAATGGCACCTCTGCACCCAGTGCTGAGAATATTAACACTGATGGGGGGGAAAGGGGCAGGAAAGGGATGAGTCAGTGCCACCTGTGAGACAAGACAGGCAGCTGGTCAGAGATGTTTTGTGGTTACCGCTGAAGAGTTCACGGGGTGGCCTGGGAGGACAGTGGTTGCCAGAAAAACAGGGTCAACCACAAGCTATGAGGAACCTGCCCAGGGCTTGAACAGGAAAGACCTTTCCCACAGGGCAAAGGGGAAGGAAGAGAGGAAGTAGCTGGGTCTTAAGAGTGGCAGGTGAGAGAGGTGGACCAAGGTCCACACACCTGGAGGGGCACGCAGAAGAGGAGCTGAGTGTGGGTCAGAGCGGGAGGTCTGGCAGTGCCTCTTCAAAGAGCTGAGCTGTGGGCAAACCTGCCCTGGACCAGACGCTTCCGGGCTGTGCTGCCAGCTACCCCAGCTGCGTACACGTGGTTCCTCTAAGGCCGGATTCTCAAAGTGGGCAGAACAGGAAACTCTGGAAATCAAGCCTGGGTATCTACCTGCATTTTGAAAAACTCTCTAGGTGATTCTGGTCCAAGCTCAATTTTGAGAACATTTGCCTACTCCTGTACTGAACCAATTCAGGAAGTTATCACTGGGTGCCTTGAAGAACAAAGATGAACATCCCCGGGCCAAGAAACTCAGAGTGATGGGAGGAAAGTGGATATTAAAAATGAGTACAGTAGGAGCCCAACAGGCTTATGTGCCAAGAATTATGGGAACACAGTGGAAGGATCTTTAACCCTGAAGGGGTTTGAAAGGCTTCCAGGAGGAGGTGACATCTGAGCTGATCCCTGAAGGCTGCCTACACCAGGTGCAAAGAGGAGGGGAAGCCCACAGGGGCATAGTCTGCCCCAAAGAGATCACCTCTCCCTTTTCCCTTGTGAGGCTGATGCTGCTAAAAGGGACAGCTGTCTCCTTCCACTGAAGACTTGAGCAGGGGAGACTGGTGAGCAACACCACCAAAACCATCAATTCACTTGTCATCACTATCGGGGGAGTTAAAAAAATCTGTTTCTGCATAGCTAGCTGCCAGCCACACCTGTACATTATAATTTGAAATGTGATGAATATAAAGGCCCATCCAGTGGATGCTGGTGAAGGATGACAACTGGCTTTCTGGGGGGAAACACTCTAACTTCTAGCGTTTGCCAATTCCTATCGTAGAATTCTTCCACCACGGGCAGTTTCAAGCTACCAATCTGACCGAATTTGTCACTGAATACGGACTTGGGAAGAGACACACAGAATTGGCTCTGTAAGCCTGTGCACACCCCTGGGCTTATCACAGGTCTTCAACATCCTATTTCATTTCCAAAGATCCCTGGGGAAAAGTGAAAGCATTCCTGAAGTGTGTGTGTGTGTGAGTATGTGAGTGTATGTGTGTGTTGGCAGGGGTGGAGACACGGGACAACGGATGACAAGACCCAAAACTAGTATCACCGGCTAGATAAACACACAAATATACAAGAGGTCAAGAGGGAAAAGTTCAAACATCTGACAAAGAAATAAAATTAACAAACCTAATGAAAACCCATCTGCAAATCCAACAAAACTTTCTAAATAAATGTTCATCCTTTCTGATCTAACTTCTTAACCCATAAGATTGACCTCTTCCAATTAAAAAAGCAAATGTCCTCATTTGTATCTCTTTCCCACAAACATGACACAGCATTCATTCATTCCAGCTCCTCACCCAGGTCACAGCTGGTTTCAAAGGCTGAGGAAGGCAAATCATGGAGGAGCCCTTTCCCTCGCCCCTTCCCCACAGACACCTGGCGTGAGAGGCACCTGTACTGCTCTTTCAGACACTGGTTCTTAGAACTCACTGTGTGTCAGAGTCCCCTGGCGCACTGTGAAAGCACACCCCAGGGTTTCTGAATCAGGAGACCCAGGCGAGCCCCAAGAATCTGCCTTTGGAACAACTTCCCAGGTGGGGCTGACGCTGCTGGGCCTGGGACCACCCTTTGAGAACCACTTTCTCAGATGACCTTTGGATCCCTGCCATCAAGTCATCTTGAGGAAACCACCACGCCTCCTAATAGCGATGGCAACAGGCAGACAACGCGAGTTCACACACAGCCCTGCGGCCTGCCTGTCGCTTCCACACATACATCTGTGCTGGTGCCGGCGCGCGTGGCTGGCTGTTGTAACTAAGGGTGAAGAGCAAATGGAGAGCTGATCCTATTTGTGGGGCCCTCAAGAGCCTCGATATTATTTCATATTTCACCACCATCTGGAGGCTTCGCTCTGCCCCATGCGGTGGGCTGGATGAGCAGCACCATCCCACCTTCTAGTTGAAGAAGTTTAGGGTCCCAAGAGGGGGCAGGAGCTGCCCTTGTTGGACTGTGCATTTTAGACTGAGCCTCACTTCCTTTGCACCCCATTTCCAGGTGGGGGCCCACTGGGAGGGACCGAGGTCAGAGGGAGTAACAGGTGGGTCCTGATCGCAAACCGGGTCATCCATCACCTGGTTCCTTCTTGTCCTCACTCCACACAAGTATGCTCCTGGGACTCCTTGCCCGACTGTAGCGGGGCCCTGGATGCTGTGTTTTCGGAATCCCTGTTTCTGACTGGTGCAGCTTTTCTTTCTACTCTCTTGCTGTCACACTGGCAAGCAGTTATTTCCCCATCACTGCTCAGATGCAGGCTTGCCCCCGACAGCCCTGCTCCCCACTTCACTGCTGCAGCTGAAAGGCTGAGTAACTGTGCCCGCGGGGCGCCCCATCCCAGCAACCAGGTGAGGGGCACCCCTTCAGGCTGTGCTTCCCAAGGGCATGAGAGCCAGGTGAGCACGTGTTAGCCGCTATCTGACCCAGTGGGCGCTGTGGCCCCACACTCCTCACAGAACTGCACCCACCTCTTCCTTACTTCAGGCACAGAGCAGGGTTTGGCAGGGGCCCCGAAGAGTGACACCGCCCCAGTGTTCTCCCAGGGCCTGCTGGGAGGGCATTCAGGAATCAGTCCTGTGGTTTCCACAGCTTAACCCTTTACGTCCCCTTTGCTGCAGCAGTGGACAAGAGGAGAGCCTGATAAAGAGTCCATGCTTCCATAGCTGGAGAAGTGCCTTTCAAGTATACACCGGAGAGTCTCAGAAACAAATCAGCTCTTCCAATGTCCCAGAAAAACACGGTTTGAGGAACTACCCTGCCCACCGCAATATGGTGGCCTATTGGGTGGACATTTCTCAAAGACACCCTTCAGCTTTTAATGAGTAACCTTAGGCTAGGGACCTGACCTCTCTGTGCCTCAGTTCCTCACCTGTAAAACAGGAGCAACTGCAGTACCTACCTACCTCATAGGCTTACCGTGAGGATTACGTGGGCATGTGTGCGTATACTCTCCGGAGGACGCCTGGCACAGGCAGCCAGGGCCTAGCTCTGCTAACGATGTTGCTCTCAGTACTAGAGAGGCCACAAAGTTGTGTGTTTGCCTCGTTTCTGTCACTTAAGAGTTTACAGAATTTGCAAATAAATGGAAGATGAATCTTTTTCCACCGAAGGGTCCCGTGCACACTGTGTGTTTTCCCTACAGAAAGGGAATCGTGGGGCCCATCCCCCAACATGGTCAAGGAGGAGCAAGGAAGGACGAAAGGGGTCCTCGCAGGGGCTACCCGGGTCAAGCTGCCTTTCAGAGGGAAGCCCCAGCTGAGCAGCAACCACAGAGAGATCCAGCAAGTGAATCAAACAATCACCATCCAAACAAAAGGAGCACCCCTGCCAATCCCACACTTACTTCCAGGACGGTCCATTGTTCCACAACAATAGCGTCGTAGCCCTGCATGGTTTTGCTATCTTCTGTGGAAACAGCTTCAAAGATGAATACTCCATCTGTCAAGCTGTGTAAGGAATCTGTGGAAAAAAAGAGAAAGGAGGGGAGGGGGGGAATTTTCTGTAAATGGTCTGTGACAGAAGCCTTACAAGCAGGAAAAATTTTCACTGCATTCATTAATAATCCCAATCAGAACATCTTTTCAGCATGTTAATTAAAGAAGGCACACACAGCCATAGAGTCTAGCCCCATCAGAATGAATGAGACTAATTTACCTCTCAGTTCTGAATAATATCCTTGATTTTATGAGCCCAAATTTCATTGTTAGCAATCACTATTTGATTTCACGCGTCTACCTTCCTTTTCACGCTCCAACATCAGGATGTACTGGGGAGAACTTGTGCAGGGCCAAACACAGTCATTTACAGACAGTTTTTAGAAGAAAACTATATTTAGGTGGGAGATTTTTTTTTAAGGGGGGATAGATACAACACACCAGATCTGAGCTTGTCAGACGGATTCTGGATGCGCTGGTTCCTGGAAGTTCACAGGATGCAGGCTGCTGTGCAGATAACACGACAGGCAGCTCTTGTCAAGAGGTGGAACTGGGGGGAAGGGAGAGTTTTCCCAAATGATTTATCACTGAAAACGTTTCCTTGGGCATTGCTTTAGTCAGGGTACCACGTTCTGAGTTCTGTACAATTCAACAAATGTACCTTCCACATACAGCACGATTCAAGGATGCCTTGGGCAACGACAGCATAAAGAAAATTAGAACAGGGTCCCCAACCCTGCAGAAGACATTAAGGGGGGAGCTTTCTGCTTTTTTCGTTTGTTAATGACTCCTAATGCCCTAGATTCATTTACATTAGAGATTATGGGAAAGAGGACTGGACTTAGAAGCAGGTGGTTTGAGTCCATGCTTTATCAACAGAAGTGATGTGACCCCTTTTGGGGACTTGGTCTCTCACCTGTGGGATGCAGTGGTGGACAGAGAATCCCCCCTCCCTCTTGACAGTAGCAGAATCATTAGAATAAAGTCAAGACTAAGATGACTGCTGGGGAGACCAGCCAACTAGGGGCTTATGCATGTGACTTGCTTGGCTAATGGGATACTAACAGGTGTGATGCAAACAGGAGCTTGAAAAGAGTTTGTGTGTGTGGTTGAGCCTGATCTCTCTGTGTCTGCCACCACTTTGAGAGGACATGCCCCAGCTGGCTGGCTGGTTCCAGGATGATGAAAGACAGGAGGAGCAGAGCTGCCCCAGTGAAGCTTAGCTTAGGTCAGCTTAGGTCAGGCCTGTGAGCAAGCCCAGCTGAGATCACTGCCTCAGTGGGGGTGCTCCAGCCAACCTGCAAATATGTGAGAATAAATTATTACTGTTTTAAGCCAATGAGCTCAATAAGCTCTTGTTACACAGCATTATCACAGTCATAACTGACTGATACAATGCCCAACCTAAACTAAAGAAACATGAGACCAGTGTACTTTGCTTAGCCTGGGAACATTCCTGACTATTCCAGAATGATAGACCTGACCAGCTCAACAAACCATGGCTGTGAAGGCCATTCCTGGAGCACAGCAGTCTCATCCTGATATTATTTCTATCTGACAAGATGATACTCCATTTCAAGTAAGATCCCTGTGGGTTCATCGATACCATGCTCCAGTGTTTTGTTTCCCATCCTGAGAGTCTGTTATCAAACAGCCTTAGCAAAAGTTCTAAGCTTGCCTCTCATCTGCTCTGCTAAAAAGTGTTCCCCAAGGGTTTGTTCAATGACCTCCTAAGAGACATTTTACAAAGGTGACCAGGGAAGAACAGAGCTGCGCTTCAGCCTAACTGCATTACAAGTATTTTGGGGTCCAGGATAAGCACGGACCATAGTCCAGCTCACTCTGAGAGTTCCGGCCCAGCTGGAGCCGCTGCTACAGTAAGTGTGACCTATGGAACAAACCCCCTTGCAACAAAGCTGTCCCAAGTACTGACTTGGGGATGCACGGGACCAAAAGATACTCGATGATTCCTTTGGGATTATATCGACCCTGCACAAATTCCCTCTAGGCTTCTACAGAAACCCGTTATATCCAATTTCCAAAGTCTCTACCTACAGATCTCCTCAAAGGAAAACCTCCCAGCCTTTTAAATGTGCCCACCATGTGCTTTAAGTACTCAAGTGCCCAACTGGACACGAACAATATGATGGTATTTCGCCTGCCCGTGGCACTGTACTGCAGAGTTGAGGCAGGAGAAGGCAGAAGAAGACACTGCAGCTCACCCAGACTTTCTTTCCCATCCCTGCCTGGTTGCCCCTCCTTCCTTCCCAGTAGTGTGCCTGGGACAAGCGCTGTGTGGTCAGTGGGGAGAGGGATGGCCGCACTCAGGGGCATGAAGTAGGAACCAACCAGGCCTGTATCTCCCAGCCTCCTTGCCCAGTGTCTGCCTTCCAGCCTCTCAGCCCACTGCTCCGCTATCTCAAATCCAGAGTGCCGACTCACCTACTTAACTCCAAAGCCAGTTTGGAATGGCTGTCAAAATTTGGTCATCTGTAACAGCAAAAAAGTCAATGAACCACAGAGAGCAGACAGCCGGGCTTTTAAACTGCCCCCTGTTTTGACGGCCTTGTCCACTCCTGTCTTCTCACTGCCCTCTGGCTCAGCCCCACTGTAATGTGCACCGAGCTGGGTATAAATAGATCTTACCGTGAAGGCTCCCTGTGTAAAAGGTTAAATCGCCCTCCATCTATGGAAAACACTCCATTATCACTGCATTTTTTATAAAAGTAAAGCAGCTTCCCTACTGTGCACAGAAAGCTATTTGCTCTGGTATTGTATAAATATTTGATGCCAGGCTTTTGGCTAAAGGCCACCTTAACACTCTAAGCTTGTGATTTACAAGAAGGATGTGGGAAAAAAGAGATTTGCCCTATTAGCCCAAGAGGTAAATTCTATGAGGCAACAGCTCTTCCCCTGTAGCCTCTGAGACATTAAGAGTCCGTCTAGCAAGCTAACCTTCAGGCTCACCCTAGGTGCTACGCTTCCCCAAAGTCTGGCCAGAAACCTGCACTCCATGACAAGTGGTTAATGTATGTGGTCTGGAAAAAAAGTGTTACTGTGCGCCTTTTAACCAGCTAGCTTGGACCCAGTTGTCCACACTGGGGTGGCTGGCGTGACAGATTTCCTTGGCTCTCTGAAAGCCCCCTCTCCCCATCAGGCACTGCACGGTGCTCACAGCACCACCTCGGTTCCAGGCATGGCACGCGCCAGCACCAGGACCATAATTGCATGTGTTGTCATACCAACCTTGAGCCCCACTGCAAATGTAAACACTGATCAGCCAATCCCGGGTCTCGGTGCCACGTTGCTTCCCAATCACACTGCAGCTAATCTGCTGACATTATCAAAAGAGCAAGCAGGTTTGCTGCCTTCCCCTATTCTCCAGCCCTTGCCGCCGCTCTTAGCCTTCCTTCCTTCCTGCATTCACAGTTTGAAATAGTGAAAAATCTAGGGGAGAAATTACTCCTTTTCAGTTCCAGAAAGGGCTAGCCTGCAAGTGCCATTGAACTGACAGATGGGAAAGACATGCTCTGATTCGTCGCCTCCGTATGAGAGGCACTGGACCAGGCGCAGTTTGTGGTTTCTCACTGAGTCCCCCCACCCCCCGCAAAGTGTGGCATTCCCTCTCAGTGGCTGAGAAAACAGAGGCTGCCGAAGTTAAACCACTTATCCATACTCGGTGGAAGGTCAGGGCCAATGTGGATCTCAGATGGGGCTGGATGTTAAAGCCTCTACTCTTTCAACAGCGGCCAGGTGTGCACTGAGCAGCCACGACGACGTGCCCCGGGGCTGCTGCCTGAGCGGGCGTGGGCCAGGGTCAGCCTAGGTGCCTCGCCTTGGCAGCAGGTGCTGTCTAATGGGGACGCGACACTCCCTGTCTGGGTGGCATCTCAGTGTGGCCACAGTGAGATGGCCTTGGGACTTCCGTTTGGGGCCAAATCTGTGCAGATGCCATGCCCTCCTCCATGGAGCAAAAAAAAAAACAAAAAACAAAAAACAAATAAAAATATAACTTAATTCATGGTAAATGAATTAAGTTAGATATATCCACGCGAGGGACAGTGTACAGCAATGAGAAGAATGATCTGCAATTCCATGTGAATGTGGATGAATCTCACAAACGTAACGAGTGGAAGAAGCCAGGTGAGAAGGGCACACTCCATTCATTTCAAGTTCAAATCTACAATCAAAGCCACAATGAGACGTCACCTCACACCTGCTGGAATGGCATCACAAAAAAGACAAGAGACAACAAGTGTTGGCAGGCTGTGGAGAAAAAGGAACCCCTGTGCATTATTGGTGGGGATGTAAACTGATGCATTCATTATAGAAAACTGCATGGAGATTTCTCAAAAAATTTTAAAAAATGGAAGTATCAGCAATTCCACTTCTGGACATATGTCTAAAGGAAGTGAAATCATCACCCCAAAAAGGTTTCTGCACCCACCTGTTCACTGAAGCATTTTTCACAACAGCCAAGACCTGGAAACAACTTATGTGTTCACTGGTGTCTCAATGGATACAGAAAATGCGATACATACAATGAAATGTTATTCAGCCACAAAAAAGAAGGAAGTCTTGCCACTTGAGATGACATGGCTGGACCTTGAGGCCATTATGCTAAGTGAGGTAAGTCAGAGAAAGACAAATACTGTGTGATGTCACTTCCTTGTGGAATCTAAAAAGCCCAGCTCCTAGAAACAAGGATGAGGTTGGTGGTTGCCTGCAGTGGAAGGAAGGGGGGGAAGCTGCTGGAGGCGTCAAGGCCTCGAACTTCCCGCTGAAAGATGAGTCAGTCCGGGGGCTGTAATGTGCAGCACGGTGACTGTGGTGAACGATATTGTATTGTGTGTATTTGAATGCTGCTAAGACGATTTTAAAGGCTGTCATCAGAAGAAAAAAATCTGTAGCCACGTTTGGTGACAGATGTTAACTGAGCTTATTGTGGTAATCATTCATAATACACACATATATCAAATCATTATGTTGTATAACTTAAACTAATACAATGTTACATATCAACTATATCTCAATGAAACTAGGAAAATAGTTTAAAACCAACCTGTGGTGTTTCATGTCAGGACTGCGGTCACCCCGGGACTTAGGGACCACGAGGGGGCTGGGGAGGGTTTCCGAGGGGGCTTGTATGTTGCATTTCCTGCTCTGGGTGCCGGGTGCATGGATTGTGCACCTCGTGAAACCCACTCAGCTACATCCTTTCTGTACCTCTGCTCTACACTACAATAAAAAGTTTACTTAACCCTGTGCTATGGATACAAGAGAAAATTCATTTAATGGTGTAAGTGAAACCTTCCCCTACATCGTTTGCTTGGCTCCTCAGAGAGCGAAGCCATGGCTGTAACCACCAGGACGAGCACTCCTGGAGGTGGCAGGGGTCCAGGGAGCAGCTACTGGAAGCACCTGGAACTACCTTATTCTTATTCCCTCCCCTGCCCATTCCCTCCACCCCTAGCTCTTTGATCCCCCAGATCTGTGGTTCCTGGTGATGCACACCACAACAGCAGCGTGGCTGAGCAACACCCAGAAACCTTTATTGATCACCTTCTGTATACAGGGCCTGGTGTACAGGCACTGGGCACTAAGATGAACAGGACGCAGGGCCTGTCCAAGGGTGTGAAAGTATGTCAGTATGAAAGGTATGTCTCTACACATGTTTCATGTGAAACATGTACCTGTTTTTGACATGTATACTTTGCAAATATAAAGTCATGTAGGTTATGCCAGGTGTCAAAAAAGGTGGTATAAATACCAAGAGATGCTTGAATATAGCTGGGGCTGGGGCATCAGGGAGAGTCGCCAGGAAGACAATCTTTAAAAGGGTAGGAACGGAGACACCTAGGTATGGGGTGTCTCCCGACGTGACATGTGTAGATCACACCACCATCTGGAATTGTTTCAGAACATAAGGGCTTGATGTATCAAGGCCTTACAACTCAACTCCGCCTCCTAGGAAACAGAGGCCAGAGGGGGTAAGAAGAAGAAAAGAAGGGTAGGCAAGCTCAGTGTCTCCGTGAGGCCCTGACCAGACACGTCCAGAAAACAGGACACTCAGCAGGGTGAGAGGCGAGTGTTACATCAAACAAACAGGGTCATAAAAAAAAATGACTCTTCCAAGTAAAAAACAAGTGAGGACATGGTCACCATCTGCAGTACATGTCATGGGAGTCACTTCTGGTGTGGACAACGTGCTGCAAAGGATGTTTTTGAAACAATGAAGACATTTGAACCTGGGCTGGATAAAGATGATACTGCCAGGAAGGGAAGGACTTCGGGGCTAGGAGACAGGGAGGGCAGGTTCAGGGTCATGGTCAGGGTAGAGGGAGAGCCAGGACAGGGCAAGGAGAGTACAGTGAGGGCAGAGTGAGGTGGGGACAAGGACAGGGTGAGGGGAGAATAAAAGAAACAGAGAGTAAGGACAAGGGTCAGGGCAGGGCAAGGAGCAGTGGTGGTGCAGCAGCCGCGGTGGCTGGTGACGGCAGTAGGGATTCTGCGGGGCCAGGAGCCCCTGGTGCAAAATCAGGTTCCTGGGTAAACCTCCAGACAGTGGGCAACTGCTCCACCTCATCCCGATCCCTGACCTCTGGTACCTGCCGACCCCTCAGCAGCTGGCTCAGCAGGTCTCCCTCCTGGCCTCTTCCGCCCTCTAGGAGTGCAGATTCTGGCCTTTGTCGCACTGGCTGGAGTGTCTGCTCTGCCATCTGACCAGCCATGGGACTCATCCACACTGCCGTCCGGCTACCCTGGTCCCACTGCTTCTCTGAGGGTGGCCCTGGAGCTGCCCTCCCTCCTCCAGGGCCACCCAAGGCCCTGTTGGGGGCTTTGACTCCTCACCAACACGGCCACCCCTTTTCTCTCCTCCCCATGTCCCTTTTCCCTGCCTACACCCTCCTTCCTCCCTGCCACTTTCTTGCCTCGGCAATGATTTGATCTCTCTGTGCCTCAGCATGCACAGCTCTGATGCAGGGACAGCAGTGCCCCCTTCACTGCATTGTGGGGAGTGAATGAGTTGCTATGTTTGAGCGGCTTAGAGTGGCAACAACACATAGACACTGCTGGGTGGCCGTGACCATCCTCACGCTGCGCTTTCCCTGGGGCCTTGGCTCGCCAGGGCGCCAGGGCTGGGCCTCCCCAGCCGAGTCAGCCGGTCACTTCCCGGGAGGAGCCCTGGACACTGTGAACAGAAGCCCAAACTTGAGCACCACGCAAGACTTTCCAGGCCCCGGGATTAAAGCCTCGAAGACAGAAGCTGGAGTCTTAACTGAATAGTTCAGGCTCAAACATCCCCTCATTCACAGGACAAAGTTCTCCCAAGTTTTATGGCTCTGTGGGGAATATTCTGGAGCACAAAGACCCATGGAAGTCGAGACGGGTGCTTTTCCAGATGGTAAACAGCTTAAAGATGGGCTTCTGGCTCTGCCGTGTTTATTTGTAAGGACACTAATTATCTTCTTAGAAACAGGTTCCTCTTCTAATTATGATTAGCTTGCTTTTTTATTTTTTTTTCCAATTCTGGGAAAAGAACATGTGCATATTTCATCCCTGGCCAAAGGAAACCTTGGGCTTTTCCAGAGCACAAACGCCCAAACCCACTAAGCATTCCCACGCCATGCTCTCTCCCCCGTCAGAAACACACAGGGTGAGAAGGGCTTGAATTTTGAGCGGGTTCAAGTTAATTTTGTGCCGAGGATTTCCCCGGTGTCCCGGAGACAGTCGTGCAGCTCCTGCAGGGCCCTCGACGTGGGCAGCCCTGCTGTGGAGACGTCCCAGGCTGTGTGGGATTTCACCACCGTGCCGGCCAGGGGAAATTCCGTGTTCTATCTGCCTTCAAGGCTGGAAGGCTGGATTTAACGCAGCTAAAGCCAAGGGAGGATCTAACAGCATTTCAACCCCTGCCCCGAGTCAAATCTGGGAAAAAAAGCTGTATAAATTATCTGTGTTGTTGGATTCAAGGTCAAAGAATGGGGTAAGGAGAAGTGGAGGAGACTCTGCCTGGGTTGCCAAAGCCATGACAGCTAGAGAGACAGTAAACGCCATTGCCAACTTCCAAGGCGACCTCAGCGGGGTTCAGCTTGCTCCTGACAGACTTGAGCAGTGAGGCCAGAGAGAAAACTGCCCTTTTGACCCCCCGATCCTCCTAAGGGTGGGAATTGCCAGTGGCTGTCTGCATAGCTGCTACCTTCAGTGACTCCCTGTGCATCCTTAGGATGTTAGCACAACTAACCATCAGTTCCCCAAGGAGAAATTTAAAACTATGCACGGCCACAGAAAGCCTTTGTGGGCACCAAGAGGAGATGAGAGGAGCTGACGTTACCACAGTGCAGGCTGGGAGATGGGGTGTCCCTGCAGGAAGCAGGAGGGGGAGAGCTCTTCCCTGGGTTCCCCAAGTGCCGATGCATCAGGGCCGAGAACACTGCCCCCAGGCTGATGCCCCTCGTGTTCACTTCTGGTGTCTCTCAAAACAGATGGGGACATTCTCTAGCTTCAGGGAACTTTGCAGGCTCCCATGGAAGGCCTCCTTGTGTACAGGGAGGTTACCAGCCTTGCTGCCAGAGAACCGAATGCACTCTCTTAGTTATGTTAATGAAATGGATGCTCTAGGACTGTACTGTCCAATACACCAGCCACTAGCCACATACAGTCACTGAAACTCACACTAATGATAATTACATTCTAAAATTCACTTCTCGGTTCTTCTAGCCACATTTCAGTTGGTCATCAGCCATGCGTGGCTACAACACTGGACCGCTGCTGCTCAGGACGTAGTCTTAGTGTCACACACCCATTCCACAAGTGGCCATGGCCCACTGTGCCGCACCGTGCCTGCTGCTGCCCTCCCATCACATTAACAGCAGGAATCAATATTTAGCTAGTACGACAACAATGGACGGCATCCAAGCTTAGACCTGTCTGTGCTACGCAGTGTTCTAAGGCTTTGGATGCTTTACAGAAGGTACATTCAGGATTGAGACTGAAGTCTCTTCTACACATCTCAAGCCTTGAAATGTTTGCTGGCATTTCAAGGGTTGCACATAATGTAGAATACAAACTCTGTTCCTGACTCAGCAAATTCTTAGACAATTACCCAACAACCAAGACACTGTGCTGGTGACATGCCCTGCCCCGTGGCGCTCGGATTGCCAAGTCTGGTGTGACGATTCTCTCACTTAGGAACCCTGGTGACTGGCAGCCCCCAGGGTCCACACATGCCGGCTTGCTGGCCCCGCTCCCCAAATTGCCTCCCAGATGGGAAGCACCCTAGTGACACCGCCTGCCTTTGTGGTGACCTGAAAACCCCTCTTTGCCTGACACAGTTCCCCACTTTCTCTCTGCCTTTGAGAAGCTGACAACAATGTTGGTATCCCATGAGATAACCCTTTATTGGGGAGGGAGCACTGCATGCCAGAGACCCAGGAACAATGTGTGTCCCCATGGAGCTTACAGCAACCGGGCTGTTCAGTTCACGTCTCTGCTGTTAATTCCAAGGTGCTGCTACTGCTACTTCGAACTGTAACAGCGTCTACGAACAATTTGCACTTTCGGAGAGGCATGATCCCAGGGGGTAATTAACAAAACCCGGGACTCATCTTCTTCAAAGCCTGGAAAAGCAACAGAGATCAAGACCACCAGCGCTGACACAGAATCACTCCTCTCTCTCTGTCATTTTAGAAGATACCTGGCTGACCCCCAGAGAGGTTTAGAAAGCATAGGCGGTGGGCTTTATGGAAAACTCCTCAAGATGTGTTAATTAGAAATCAAATGCGGCATGTTTATTAGCTGCGGAGCTTTCTGAACGGCCCAGGCTCCGGAGATGGGCTGAGATGACAAGAACGAGAAGCAGAATGCCTAAGGGCCGCCCCAGGGCTGCGAATGCCATACCATTGACCATGGCGAGGTGGAAGACGGCGTTCACCAGCACGCCTCCTTTCCGGAAGTGGTCGCTCATGTGCTCCAGCCAGTTGGCATCCAAGCCGCTCACCGCCTGGCCGTTCGTGGACACCCGCAGAGGGATGGTGACAGGGTAGTACTGCCGGCACTCCTGGTGGCTCCTCGGTTTGTTGAAAAGGGCGAAGATCTCCATTTCTGTTGGGATTGGTAAAGGGGGTAGGGAGACAAGAGTTTCAACAGCGGTGAATCTCCTCATCGGGTCTAGTGGAATCTCTTAGCAGCCTGAAGCAATGAGATCACAGGTGGAATCTCTGAGCGTACACTGCGGACAAATAATAAAACCTGATTCTGAGTAGAAAGTTAAGAGTGGCTTAGGCCCTGGCTGGTATAGCTCAGTGGATTGAGTGCGGGCTGCGAACCAAAGCATCGCAGGTTCAATTCCCAGTCAGAGCACAGGCCTGGGTTGTGGGCCAGGACCCCAGTGAGGGCCACCTGAGAGGCAACCACACATTGATGTTTCTTTCTCTCTCTTTCTCCCTCCCTTCCCATCTCTAAAAATAAATAAATAAAATCTTTAAAAAAAAGAGTGGCTTAAAAGTGACACGGGCCTCAAAGGCTGAACTTCAAGTGGAGGACTTAAGTTTTGAATCTGGCGCAGAATGAACGGCTCTTATCTGGGATTAATTTGTACAGTTAGGTTTTGAAAGGACAGAGTAGACAGTCCTAGAAATTCAGACAACGGTGTTTTGAAAGAAAAAGCAGACATACTTGGGTGAGAGCTGGTCTTCAAAAAAAAATAGTAGATGTACACAGGCACATAAAAGCACGAAATACTGCTGTAATTCCAGGAACCTTGTACGCCCCTGAACTCACTATTTATAAGCTGCAGTGGTGTTTCCTGGGGCCGAACCCATAATACTTAATCAAGTACATCAAAAATACATCATTGATATGTAAAAATAAATATGTTCCCGTAAACGAGGGTTCCTTCCTGGAGTGGTCGGTCTGCTCAGCCAGGCCGGCAGACACTGGCAGGGGGGCGCTGGACTTTCTGTTCCTTCATTTATAGCTCAGTTCTTCAAAAATCAATAGTCACCACCAGCCAGCAGCTGACCCACGCCCGCCGTACGTGCTGCCGGCCACGAGTGAGCGGTACTGGCCTCCGAGAGCAAATACCTGGGATCCCAACCTAAGTCTGGATGGAGGTCTATTTCTGTGTTACTGGTTTAGTTAGTCAGAGTTCACCTAGCTTAAAAAGCTCTGCTTACACAGGCTACTCAGGAATATGCTTTGGTTTCCAAAAATATCTGTTTCAATAAGAAAATCCCCACCACTGTTTCAAAGAAATATTGTAAAGGTCATACACAATGGCTGACATTAGTGAAAAAGACAGCACACACCCATGCTCCCTGCAGGAGACACCTGGCCTGCACCCACGCTCTGGGATGCTGCATCTGCTATTTCAGCATTTCATAATTTCTCTACTATCCAAATAAATGGACTCGCTTTCCTTTATTTAAATAAATGCATTTTAAAAGAAAACTGCTTCCAGCCCTGGCTGGCGTAGCTCAGTGGATTGAGCATGGGCTGCGAACCAAGGTGTTGCAGGTTCGATTCCCAGTCAGGGCACATGCCTGGGTTGCAGGCCACAGTCCCCAGCAACCGCACATTGATGTTTCTCTCTCTCTCTCTCTTTCTCCCTCCCTTCCCTCTCTAAAAAATAAATAAATAAAATCTTAAAAAGAAAAAGAAAACTGCTTCCATATCATGAGGGGAACAACTACCACTTGCTATAAACAGGAGGCAGTGATGAGGCACATTAATACCAAATATGTCCATCCATGTAACATCTAAAATTATCCCGCACAGGAACTGTATTCAGGACAAAGGAAGTCTTCTCCCAGCCCCATGTGAGTGAGCAGCAGCTGGGGTCTCTGGGGAGCAATGCGGGGCCACGAGCCTCTGTCATCAGCCGATTTAAGCTATGGGGAAGGGGGGCCATTTCCAGCAACCCATTGGCTTGAACCAATTAGAAAAGGAAGGTGCCCATCTTCACAAGGGGCCACCTGGATTTCAAGCAACCGACTCTGGCCTGTTCATTATCCCCACCCCGAATTCCCTTTCTCAGTCCACTTCCCTGACTCGGGAAGCCACGTCCAGCCAGCAAGCACTTTCACACAAGAAACCAGGTCTTGGTGTACAGAGCTGGCGGTCACTAAACTACTTCGTGACTTTGAAACATGCACTTAGGGGACAGGGTCATGTAAAGCAAGGCTTGTAATGGAGGGGAATCAAGTAATGGACTGGAGCTGGGGTGGGGATAGGATGTGAACTACGTAATCAGGTATTTTCCAGCTCTAAGTGCCAGGGGTTCAAATAACAGCCATAGCTACCAAGGCAAGAAGATAAGCAATGCTTTAATAACTCCTTGATTTCATTTGGATTTGGTCAAAAGCAGACCCTGGTATGTAGTTTATTTGGGGAGTGATCCCAGGAAACAGAGTGAGAGGGGAGAGGTGGGAAATAGGGGGGCGATGAGAACCAGTGAAGGGTGGCGTTACTGAGAGGGTTACCCCCTGGCCATTGGGACTCAGCCTCCCTGAGATGCTGTGGAGAACACACACACCAAGCTGCCTCACCAAGGGGCAAGGAAACCGGGGCCTTTATCCTCGGGGACTGAGGGCCACCCTTGAGGCACTAATTCTGGGCCTGCTGGGCATGTTCCCATTCCGGGGGACACCTGTGGGCTGAGAAAGCTGGTCTCAGGTGACTCCGAGGTGGGCCAGAGCACCAGTCACCACAGTCTGCTACAGTCTGCTACAGTCCAGCACAGATACACAGAAAAAGAAAAAAAGAACAATCAGTCACAGGCTTTCCGTAGAAGAAGTGAGTGGGGAATATGGAAGTGGCCAAAGTCCAAAAGTACATGCCAACCCTTGGTCACCCAGGATCCCTCACACACATGGCAAGACAAAACACAACTTTACCAAGTGCGTAATGAAACAGAGAAAGGGGAAGGCCAAAGCAAGAAGTGAGAGTGCGGGGTAGTGTGAAGGGAGGAGGGGGGACTCTCACACCAGGTAAGTGTGCGGTGCTGACAGCGCCCCCACCTTCCCGCCTGGGCCCTCCCCGGGCTACAGGACCGCAGCCAGAGACAGAAATACATTTTTCAGGAAGGAAAGGAAATACTGTTGGAATCACGAGCCTCCAAAGTATTAGTAGTAATGAAATATTGGGAGAAACCTGATTTAAAATGCGTAACCCTTTAGTAAACCCCTCTGTCCCACTGTCTCCTTGGCCCCCATCCTCTCTCCACTTACGTGGAAACCAGCCAAGAGAAACCGGCCCTGAATGATGTTCTTTGATGTTTTAATATTCTGATTCTCCAACACACATGAGCAGGCACCAGGGATTCCAGAAAGAAGCCCCAAGTTTGTTTAAATTTTCTCAGCTGCGCTGTGACTCTGTCATGACCCCAGATGGAAGATATTTCCAGACATGGGACAGAAAGTCCCAAAGGAGGGGGGAAGTCATTGCTTCTGAGAATGTTCTGAGAGTGGCTGAAGACCTGGGAGGGCAGAGCACCGCAGAAGCATCACCACTGTCTTGTATCTCTGCCCTGGCCGGGTGGCTCAGTTGGTTGGAGCATCGTCCCTGTACACCAGAAGGTTGAGGGTTGAATTCCCAGTTGGGGTACATACAGGAGGCAACCAATCGATATAGCTCTCTCACATCAGTGTTTCTCTCTCCCTAAAAATCAATAAAAACATGTCCTCAGGTGAGGATTAAAAAAATAAAACAACTGTAATGGTTTGCATTGGGAAGACTGGACTGTGGGCACCATGGTGAGAAGAGAGGACAGAGGGCCTTGGGCCCGTCCGGATTGCTGGATCTGGGAGAAGGCTGCTTCAGGCTTCAATCGGGCTCAGGGACGAATAGCAGGTCCCTCTGGGCCTGGCTGAGGCCTGTTTGCCCAGGGGAAAGTTGGGAACCAGTGCATGCACGGCGCTCCATGGGAACCGGCTGGTAAGGATCTCAGCAGCCACAGGCACGCGCGCTGTATCGACAAGAGCCCCTCACCTTCCCTGTCTCATGTGACTCTCCCAATCTCCACCAGTTCTGCACCCAGAAGCCTTAAATGGATTCCCCCAGAAATCACAAGCTGGTAAGTGGCAAAGCCAAGAGTCTTTCAAACCCCAAAGCCCGGGCTGTCTCCTAAATCTAACAAGAGGCTAATTTCATCAGTACACAGGGAGCAGGAGCTGATGACCATGGGTGGGAGTTCGATAGCTGTTTGTTAATGGACTGGAAGGCCAGAAAGACAGTGGCAGGTGGCAGACTGGGACGGGGGCAGACCCACGGGGTAGAACTATCCTGAGGGCTCGGGGAGGGAAGGCGGCCACGCATTGGAAAAGCCAGACTCAGGAGGGTACCTCCTCTTTCCCCACCCACACTGAGCTGCGCACCAGGGTGGCCTACTCACTAAAGTGCCCGCGGCCAAAAGCTCCCCTGAGATCGCTGGCTCGGGTTTCAGGCTGCTGTTTCTAAGCATTTTAAGTGAGTGGGTACAGGGTAGGAAGGGCAGGGCTTTGGAGACATTTTACTATTATTTTGGTGACAGAGAGAACATGTCCACCCTCCTTGTTTCTGTGACCAAAGTTGCAGCCACAGAGACGCAGAGGGATGGGCAGGACAGGAAGGTGGGAAGTGACAGTTGGACATCTGGTGACGCTATCCTAACCTCCCTGCAGTGGCCTTCCCCACCCAGCCTGTTGGTTACACATGAAGAAAACACGCTCCCCAGGGACAGAAATGCCCCCCAAGGGACCAGTCATGGGGTAGGGGAGCGTGAGAAAGGAAAAGGGAAGCATCCTGGGGCAGCGAGACACGGGGCGGTCGCCGTGCCAGCTCAGGTGATCTCTGCACAGCGAGGCCACCAGACCAACAGGAGATTCCCCTGGACCGGGAAGTCAAAGTCAATGTGCAGGAAGAGAAGAAAACCACATGATGGGCCTCCCAGGGGCCCGAGTGGGCAAGAGGAGCACAACCTCTGGGCCAGAGCCGCTGCTCCCTGGAGCCTGTGGGAACAGGGAGGGGAAGGGGCGACCGGCCCTGTTTCCGGATGAAGAATTCGCTGGCAGCCCTACCTGAGCAGCCGCAGCCCCCAACTGGCTCCCCTAGGCCTCCTATAAAGGAAATAAATTAAACGAGGAGAAAGAGGGGGAAAGGAGGGAGGCTCCCTCAGGACATTTTAAAATTGTCTTGCTGTGATTGCCTATTTAAGCCCACCTGGCAGAAGGAAAAGTAAAAACACTTCACCCTCCTTAGGGGTCCCTGAGAGAAAGGCAAGCAGAAATCTGAGCAAGCCAGCAGAGAGGGGAAACTTGGTGGTGGGGGGATGGTTGCTCATGAAGGGTGGTGCTCGTGGGGGGTGCAGTGTGGTGCAAGGAAGTGATAAGATTTCCCAGGAAAAAGATTAGGAGAGAGGCTGCAGTCAGATGAGGGCCATGGCCAGAGCGGACAGGGTCCCTGGACCTCTGGTCTCCAGGGAGGCTGAACAGTGAAGCTGCGAGATGAACTTGAACTGTACGAGGGCATGGAAATGGGCACAACAGCAGTATCTTCCGTCACAGAGCTGCTGTGTGTGCAGTCAGGGCGACACATGGGCGGAACTCAGGTCACAGAGAGGCTGCCGCCATCGTGGCCATTGTCTGCCCTTCCACCACAAGGCCAGGCACAGGCACTAGGAACCCCTGGGTGCTCGTTCACTGATGAAAAAAAATCCAAAGGCTCGTTTAGTCTACAAAAAGAGAAACAAGGTAATACTACATTTCAGAGGATCGGCAGCAGAAGGATCAGGGCCAGCTTTGTGTGCAGACAGTAGCCAGCTGCCCACCTAGTGACATCGGGGGTGGGGGAAGGGGAGGGGGCAGTGCTATAATGTCCTCCACAGCTAAAATGCTCACCCACTGCTGGGTGGACCACCTCCTGACACGCGTGAACCCGTATTCCGCAGCCGAAATTAGTTTTATGCTAGAGAACAGGGACTCAAGGAAACGAGACACAGGCCAAGACATGTGGGTGTCCAGGGGTCTCTGTGTGTTTGATGAGTGATGGGGAAGGTAAACAGTCACAGGGCAGCAGAAGGGGAAGGGTGGGTCCTCGGACAAATCTCCTCAATTAACTCCCCCTGGGGTTGACCACAGAAGGCAGGGCATCTGGAAAAAGTCTTGGAGAAAAGTGGATTCTGGCACAGGGGAACCTCAGTATTAACTGCCTCCTTTCTCCAAGTCAGGGTTCCATGTAGAAGCCAAAGTCAGTGGCCAGGACTGTACCCCAATAATAAGAGCTCACACTCATGAGTCAAGCAGTGCTAAGTGCTTTATATGTACATCTCCTTTAACCTTTCAGCAAGGAAGGATTGTCCTATCCCTATTTCACAGGGTAACCCTGATGCACAGAAGGGCACCTTGGCCAGATGACTATCTAGCAAGAAGATAGCAGGCTGGCATGTAAACAGAGTCTGGGTTCCTAACCACTGCGCTACCTGCCCCTCCACAGCTCCTGCCCCTTTCTCCTGGGTGTGTCAATGCATGCCCTGAACCCTCACCCCCTCAAGCTCCTGGATTGTAGAGAAGAGCCTCCAGGAGGCCTGCCTGCCTTCTCAGGATTCAGGGCGCTCACACACAGCCCGGCAGTGATGAGCAGAGGGAAGTTTCTGGAACGAGACTTGGGCATTCATTAGGAGGTACACACAGGGTCTAACTGGGCTCTTAGCTACTCGGGAGGGAGCAGAAGTCTCCCTCAAACAGCGAAAAACCCCCTAAATGAAGAGCTCTACTTCAGAGCATATTTAAGAGGGACCCAGGCCATGTGAAACGGTAATCCTAATGTATCCAAGAACTGAGGCAGCACCCATCTCTCTCTAAATCAACTTCGCAAGTAAGTCCCCTGGATGATCCGCTCTAAGATTTCCTTTTCAGGAAGTACTGACAAGCCTGGCCTGATGGCTCAGTTGGTTAGGGCATCATCCTGATACATCAAGGGTGTGGGTTCGATCCCTGGTCAGGGCACATACAAGGATCAACCAATGAATGCATGAATAAGTGGAACAACAAAAATTGATGTTTCTCTCTGTCTAAAACCAATTAAAAAGAGAAACTATTGTCATAACCAAAAAAAACCCTCATTTCACCTTCTTTTCTATTCTCAAAGTATGAACTGTTCTTCATTTATTTAAGGCTAATTTCAAGAATTAGTAAATACATCATAACATTAACCAGGGAAATGACCCAGGAAGGCAAAAGAGAAAGGTCTCCTATGGCCCGGGGGTCTCCCTCTGGCAGTTTTATCAGTAATTCATCTTCCAAAGACTAGAAGAGGCCATACAGCTCATATTCGGTCATACATGGCTCTCAAGAAATGGCTGGATGCTAGATCTCCTGGAGAAAGACGAGGACAGGGAATTGTGGGGGAAATAAAGAGAAATGTCACTCTCTAAAAACTGAGGTTCTCAGTATATCTTTTTGGCCTAACAGAGTGTTATACAGGAAAGCCCAGGTAGAGAGGTGAACTGGGATGGTGGCTAAGCCTGCCTGGGGTCACGTGCCTGATCTGCCAATTTTCAGCCCAGACAAAGAGTTTTACTCTCTGAACCTCAGTTTACTCAGCTGTGAAATGGGCAATGATACAAGAGCTCACCCAAACCCTAGGGCTATAGGGAAAATAAAGGGATCGGTCATATAAAATGTTTATTGGCACAGGGCCTGGTACCCGGAAGTATTAATAAAGGTCAGCTGCTATCACCGCAGTTGTGCTGATACGTGAAATCCCCAGCCTAAAGCGCATGCTCTGCTGGCCGTTATGACGTGATTAAGAGGATTCACACATCCTTGGCCGAGTGTTCTCGCCGTGGTGCTGGTCAATCAACTACACGAAGCTCCCTGAAATCTGGTTGTTTACAGCCTAGTGAGTTGAATCACCAGCTTCCCGCACAATCTGGCCTCAACTGGCTCTCTGCATTTCTTTCTTCAGGCAGACACTCAAAGCCAGTGAACCACAAGTGGCGCGTCCGTTCTGCACCCGAACCAGCACGTTAGCACTTCCTGTGCTAGAGCCGGGTAACTCAAGGGCAGTGCGAGAGCGAGGGGCGTGAAATAACTCGCATTCTAGAATCTACTTCAAACGTGACATTTTGGAGCAACTGCAAGCCAAACTGATGCGGTTCTGTGCTCCTCAGAAGTGACAACTTCAGTACGTAAACAGTCAGGAGGCCCCGAAAAGTGCTTGATAAAGTTCCCCCTATTTGACAGATGGCTGTCTCCACACTCTAATTCCATTTCTTTTTCCTAAAATGCCAGAGGGATTACTAAAAAGCTGTAAGCCTCTCCTCCCGTGGGTCACAAGTCCCTGTGCTGACATACTTACTTCCCGAGAGTGTTTCCTCACGCACTTCACACAGGTCACCATCCGGTCCGTCCAGGGTCTTGGAAAACTCTGCACCGTCCCCTTCTTCCAGAGGCAAGCTGGGTTGTTCGGCCAGGGGTGCCTCCCCTCCTGGGCGCTGGTTTGGCTCCGGGCTTCCATCCACCCCTGCCGGAGCACCTGGGTTCTTCTCATCCCCACCCCCGCCAGGTTCGGCTCTCCCATCTCTGGCCTCCACCTGGGGACTGCTGCCTGCTGAGTTCCCGGGGCAGTGGTACTGCGGTATGACACCGACGAATTTCAGGCCCCGACTTGCAGCCTCCTGGATCTGTCAGGCAAACAGATGAAGGGAACCACGTGAATGGGATGCTCGACCAAATGGGGGACGATGTGCAACACCCAAAACAACCCGCAACGGGCCTGGAGGATATTTCAGTGTGAACATGAACTATGTCCAGCCAGCAGAGGCCCCGTGTCCTCAAGGCAGTACCCACTCCCACGCCGGCCGGACCCAGGGACAGGGCACGGGCCTTATTCTAACTACAGAAAAACAACGCATTGGGCTGTAAGGGACTGGGATTACCTCTCTTTGAAACACTGCACTAGTCTTTACTACTTATTTTTTTTCCTAAGAGGCTAGAAAAAGGTTATAAAAAGATGAGCTAGTACAAAGAGAGTTTGAAAGAGGAAGTTCATTTGGCAAGAGTTTCTTTTTTCTTTTTTTTTTTTTCCTTTCTGATGAATCACCTACTTCCTGCCAATCAAGCTACTGTACAAGCCAGTATTCTGCATAACCATATACTAAGTACCAGATGACATTTTATAACCCAAAGAGCTTCCTCTTTTAAACAATTGTTTTGGCAGCGAAGGGCAGAGGTGGGGAAAATTAGCACGGTGCGAAAGCTGATGCGCACGTTCCCGCAAGAGGGGAACGTGTGATGGACACCTACTCAGTGGTACTCTCAGTCCCAGGCAAAGCTGGAGGAGCCCCAAGACCACGCCTGGCCCGCAGGCATCACTCAGCACACTCGTGATTTTGATTTTGCAGCTCACCACCCAGTCTAGGTAATGGGTACTTTCCATCTCAGTTCCTGAGCACGCAAAACGGGGGCGTAATGGCCACACAGAGGACCCTGGCATTTTAACTCTCCTCTCCCTATAAAATTCCCCCAAGCAACTGAATGTGGCAGTCATACATGAGGTGGGGGGTGGGAGGAAGGAAAGTAATAGCTTAATACAATCAAGCAAAAGCCAGGCAAAACTAGAAGATGAACGTTAGGGGACTTTCTGAGCAAGGACACTCAAACAGGTCAGGAGGTAGAGACCTCCGAGCCGGGGTAAGTTTAGTCACCAGCCCCTAAGTGGATGACCTTGGACGATCTTGAGTCTCTGCGGTGATCATCTCCTGTCATTTGAGAAACCAGCATGGAGCTGCTCTCTGTAAGGGAGAAGCAAGCCCTGGCAGCCCTCCTTGGATGAACCGCCCAAACTTGCAGCAGAAGGGCACTTTAGTTCAGCACTGTATACTCTAGAAAACAATCTGGGGCAGTTGCCGATGCACAGTCCAGGCTTTCTATAAAGTCTAGCCTGTGCTGGACACAACAATAGTGATAACAGTAAAGTAGTAATTACCACTGACTGCAGTGCCTGGCTCTGCATTAGGCACTTTTATAAATTGTTGTAATTCTTCAATGACTATGCATGGTATTGTTGTATCTCCATTTCAGATGAGGACACTGAGACACATTAAATCCTGAAGCAAGCAGGGAGCAGCCAGTGTTCAAAGCAAGGTCTGGCTCAGACCCAAGCTCATTCTCTTAACCACAAGATTCTAAGGGGATACATCAAGACACTAAGTACATACATGTTTTTGGACATGTGTGTGTTCACACATATGCTCATGGTTAGCTCAATTCACTCTTCAAAACTTTAAAAAAACCTTAAAGTCATCCTTCCATTCTGAAAACTCATTTTTTACTCATTAATCTGTGATATCCACCTACTTTTATAAATTATTTTGGAAAGCTTATAAAACTTGTGTTACACAAGTAACAAAAGAGTGGGGAGATAATTATACCAAAGAACCTAAGGCTAAGGGAAGCTACCGCATACAAATAATAGCTCTGAGATTCCTGGTAACACGGGCAAAAGGGGAAAGACAATGGATTTTACTGTCCTCAAATGAAATGAAGGAACATACACAAATGAAATGAGGGAACATACACAGTCAATAAAAAAGAAGCATAATTTGCTAGTGAGGAATAGAGAAACTTATTGTATGACTCTTGTAGAGGTACAGAGCAAATGTGTCTTCTTTCGTTTCATAGAAAATGAGGAGACATTTTTTCTTACGCCACTTATATATTCTTAACCCTTGACAGCATTTGCTAAAGCACAAATCTTTGAAAGTCCTTCTACATGAAGCTAAAGTGAAATAATCCAGGGAGTTGACAGGCTTTAAATTTATTGGTTTGTGAGAGAGAGAGAGGTTTTTTTTAAGATTTTATTTATTTATTTTTAGGGAGCGGGAAGGGAGGGAGAAAGAGAGAGAGAAACATCAATGTGCGGTTGCCTCTCACGTGGCCCCCACTGGGGACCTGACCCACAACCCAGGCATGTGCCCTGACTAGGAATCGAACTGGCAACATCTTGGTTCACAGCCTGCGCTCAATCCACTGAGCTACACTAGCCAGGGCTCGAGAGAGAGAATTTTTTTGTTCTACGTATTTATGTATTCATTGGTTGCTTCTTGTCTGTGCCCTGACCGGGGATCAAACCTGCAACAGTGGTGTATCAGGACAATGCTCCAACCAAGCTACCTGGCCAGGGCCAAGGCAGCATTCTGAAATGTGTCAGAGCCTGGGAACTGGGCTGCTTCAGCACTAACTTCCCAAATTCCCTCTGCGGTGCAGTGACCTGCCTTTTCTCTAGTCTTAACTGTTTGTGCAATCATGCCGCCAGCCAGCCTACTCTTCTTCAGAAGGGTTTGAGAAGATTGGCTTTTCATTTACTTTTAAACACATTATGCAAATTCCCAATGCATTAAAACCTGGAGCAAAAGTAAACTACAACTGAACTTCCACAAATTTCTAAATTTGAAAAAAAGTATCATCAATTTCTAGGTACAGCTATTTCCACCCAAACTGCAGACCTGTGTCTCAGCTCTCAAGCCCCACTAGACTTCAGTTTGACATCCTCCCTAATAAACTGCAAGTCTGAGCCTCTCCATTTCTGCTGGCTTGAGGAACAGGTGCATAGCCCCTGCTACTGGTGGCTCACCACCAAGAACACAACTATGACCACTGAAACATTTAAGAACTGGTCCCGCTGAGGGCTCAACTACAGGTCAGTCTCAACTTGAGTCACAGCATTTGAGGGCAGAAAGGCCTAGCTTGGAACCCAATACATGACTCACTGGTTGGGGAACCAGAATGTTACCTAAGTTCTCTGGGCCTCAGTTTTCTCATCTATAAAATGAGGGTAACCATACTTTCCTTGCAGCTGCTCTGAAGACAAGATTATGTATGGCAAGTGTGCCGAAGGACGGGCACACAGAAGGTACTCGTGGCCAGCATTATTGCTCTCCCGTCTCTCCTATCAGTCCCAGGCTTCCGTGGCCCTGCAGAGATGCCTGACAGTCATGCAGAGCGAGGAGGACACTCTGGGCACAGGGCATTTCTCCTACCATCTCCTTCCTCCCTGGGGCTTGAAGAATCCGAGAGGCTTTGACATAAATAAAACATGTGCCCTCCCCCCATATCCCTTTGCCCTACTGTGCTGCAAACTTGTCCTCTGTGCCCAGGGTTCTCAAAGTGTGGTCCCATACCAGCAGCATCAGCATCCCCCTGGAACTTGTTAGAAATGCAAGTTCTCAGGCCCCGCTGAATCAGAAAGTCTGAGGGTGGGGCCCGGAGATTCATGTTTTAGCAAGTTCTCCAGGTGATTCCAGCACACTCTGAAGTCTGAGAATTACTTCTCTGGAACAGCAATTTTCAACTGGTGTGCCACAAGAATTTTTAAAACATACAGTACCTGACTATTTAGTCAGGGGCACTGACCTCTTTTCCCTTAGATTGTCAAATAAAAAAATGATAACAGCCAATACAACAATAGACACCCAGTGTGAATGCCCTATCTTGAACAAAAAATGTATACATCAGATAATCGAGCTGCATCTTATTGGTCGCATTACCTAATAAGTTCGTGTCTGACTGGTTAATTCTTGGTACCAGAAATCCTTATATTACAAGTATAGGCACCTGGTTTTTTAAAAAGTCACTTTGGAGCAAAAAAAAAGGGTAGGTAATTACATTAATTTTGGTAAATCAATCAAGATTATACCTATTTTTGTCAAATCAGCAAAAATGTATTTTGTGTGTGCTGCAGACTTTGAGCCTCTGTCACCATGAGAGGAAAAGGTTGGAAGTCGCCGCTCGAGAACACACGTTCCATGAAGCAGGGTTTTGTGTGCCGCTGTGCCCCAGTGCAGACTGGTGTCTGGCACATGGAGTGGGTGCTCAAGATGTATTTGTTGAGTCAACAAATGAACACATTAAACAATGAGCAAAGATGCATGGCTCCTCTCCCAGGATGAGCTCCTTGAAGGTAGGATTGGAGACTGATGTTTCAGCTCCAGAGTTCAACAAACATTTACTAAGTCCCTACACTGGCCCAGACCGACACTGCGCTTCTGTGCTGGTTATACACAACAGGCGCCTGGTTCTCAAGAAGAGGCAGCCAAGTATCGTAAAGAGGCTTTAACAATAATTACATGAAGATGGTGGCACAATAATGCTTATATTATAATGTCATCTAAAGAATGAAGATCCTAAACTTCATAGACACAGAATTATGATGGCTGTGTAACCTTTCTATTTGTGTCTAAGTTTTCAAACTTTATCTAATGAACATGCATGTGACCTTTAAAATTAAAAAAAGAATACATATTCCAAAAATCTCTCATAGGATGTGACAGACTTCTCATACCAAGTGATAAGATAAATGCAGTAATGGCTATAAAAGTACACAAATGACAGGGATGAAAGTGATTATGTCCGACTGAGGGGAGACTGAGAAAATTTTTTCACAAAAGGTCAGGGCTATAACACATGAAATGGTGTAGTACCATGGGGAGAAGAGGGGAGTGTGGCAGAACTGGAGTGTTTATGCCTCACCTTAACCATTGTAATTCAATTTTCCCCCCAAACACCGTGCCAGACAAAATCTGTTTGGGGACCGAATCCACAGGAGGCTTTGCAGGGTGAGCAGGAGTGCACCAGATAGGTGAAAGGATTGGAGAAGGGCAATGTCGACAGAAGGAAGGGTCGT